ACCGGACACTGCAGACTTTTTAGGTCCAGGACTGATGGTGGCTGTCTTGAAGCAGGTGGGAACCTCTCCTGAGACAGTGAGATGTTGAAAATGTCAGTAATAACATCAACTAGCTGATTGGCTCTGGTTTTAGTACACGGCCCTGGATGTTATCAGGCCCAGCTGATTTACTCATATTCACTCTCAGCAGGACTCTCCTCACATCTGCTGTGGATACTGACAGGGGCCGCTCCTCTGGAGGTGGAGTAGACTTTACAGCTGACTCCTTGTTGAGGAGATCAAAGTGAGCATAAAAGGTGTTTAGCTCATCAGGTAATGTGGCCTCACACATGATGGGGGGGCTCCTGCTTTTGTAGCCTCTGATGTTTTGATGGCCTGCCACATGTCTTTGGTGTTGTTGGTGTTGAGGTCTCTCTCCAGTCTCTGCTGATGTCCCCGCTTTGCCACCTTGATGCCAGCTTTCAGACTCGCTCTGGCGGTGCTGGAAGCTTCTTTATCACCTGACCGAAAAGCAGCTATTTTGGCTCTGAATAGAGCCCTCAGCTCTCCCTTCATCCAGGCCTTCTGATTGGCAAATGATTTTATTGTCTTAGTGATCAGCACATTTGCTGATGTTTGTCACTGTTGTCTAATGTATATTCTTCAAGGTTGACGTGGCTCTCCTGGGTGGCGGCCTCTCTGATCATACTCCAACCCGTGCTCCCAAAACAGTGCTGTAGAGCTGCTGTAGATTCTGTCCACACTTTGACTGTTTTAATGGTTGGTTTAACCCTTTAGAGCCAAAAGCATCACTTATGTAAACACACAGTCCTCCTTCCCTTGTCTTAAGCCTAGTTCACACTACACGATTTTTAGCCCGATTTGCCGCTCTGCGACTGTCAGGCTGTGATCGGGAGTAAATCAACAGTTGTCGCCAGTCGTAATGTGTGAATTACTCGACGCGTCAAAACGGCTCCCTGACACATTTCTGTCCCATCACCGACGTCTGCCAGATATCTAGCACACCAATATCTGGAGGAGTCCGCCGACTCGACATCCAAATCCAGCCAATGAGAGCAGGCAGCTACTTTTCACCGCAAAACACTTTTTACTCACATCCATCTCTCTGTAGCTCAGACAATCCCTGCTACCAGCGTGAGCTAATCCATTCTTTCACCCAGATTCTTTGTCTTTACACTGCAATCTTTATAATAACAAACAACTGCTGTTTTGGTGTAGGTTCGCGTCCTTTCCCGTTTCACATTTCATGTGTGTTTTCTTGACAAAGCGTGGTTTGGAGACCAACGTCAGGTGACACAGCCGCTGTCAGCTTGCGTAGTGTATGACCCCCTGTCACCGATCAGTCACGTAGTGTGAACACCACATCGACTTCAAGACTCCTGTCACATGACGGCAAGTTGTGTAGTGTGAATGGCATGGCCATCGGCCGACGCTGAAAGACGTGTAGTCTGCACGAGCCTTTACCGGATACAAATAATTCAGGTGTTTTCTCCTAAATACAAACAATTCTTTTTTTTTTTTAAACCTGTCCTGCCCAGCGGCCTGGTATAGAGAACGATGATCTGGATACCATATTGTGCCAGACAGATTTTACTTTAACAAGAGAGTATTAAAATACTCCTTTGTCTGTTTTATTATTTATTTAATTATGTATTGATTTGTCATCGGCCGGACAGGGCGGCAGACACGGGGATGGGGGGGGGCACAAACAGACAGCACCGAGAAAGGACAAGACCTGTATGAGAAGGGGGATGGAAGGTGGGGACAACAGGGAAAAGCTGTGGGAAACACCCATTGCAGAAAGCAACGAAACCTGCAATAGAACAGAAAGGGGGGCTTGGGGAGGAGAAAAACAACAACAACAAACAAACACAAACAATAAAAATAATAATAATAGTAAAAGACAACCAGCCGAACAGCAGCAATGAACAGTTGACATAGTAAGACAACTAAGAGAAAAATGAAAACAAGAAACAGTCACACACACTAAATAAGCAACACAGCACAGCCACGAGAGCTGGAATAATAATTAATTTAAATAAGAAACTGAAAGAAAAGCATCAGGAATAATTCTACCAGGGACAACCTAAATTTGTTTGTGTCTATGCGTGAGACTGATTGTGTCTGTGTGTGTGGGTGAATGTGTCTGTATGTGTGTGTGTACATGTGTGTGTGGGTGAATGTGTCTGTATGTGTGTGTGTACATGTGTGTGCGCATAAGCCTGTTAAAGAATGTAGTTGTTAGTGAGAGTGGGATGCCACGACTGCGCCACACTTACCCCAGCAACAGGCAGGCAAGAACCCAGTGGCCAATAGGGGTGTGAGAAAGAAAAAGAATAAATCAATCAAAAAAACCCAACAAAGACTCCCAGATGCACCTCGATGCAAACGCGGAAGACCCCGACCCAAATGCCAGTTGACAACGTAATGCCGACGGAACGCAAGAAGCGTAACCCGCAGAGTAGCAGCGCCCGGACCGACCGCGGCGCACACACAACATAGACCAGTGCCCCCCCCACCGCCGCAATAAAGCAGCCCCACCCACCAAACACCCAGCAGCCTGCCCGCCCCCAGGGTCCTAAGGGTGTATGTTGTGAGACATGACTAAAGGGGGAAAGGTGAAGGAGGTCATAGGGAGGCTAGAATGGTCCTCCTCACTGGGACCAGATTCCTGACTGGCCCCATCATTCATTCAGTCCCGTCGCCCGCCCCCCTAAGCAGAAGGACGCCAGGTCCCTCCAGCCCAGGGCTTATAGCAAGAGCCCCTCTAGCACTGGCAGCACCCCAGAGTCAGCGACAACCCCGCCCATCCACAGGACGGGTCCAGGGGGCCCAGCCCCCCCAGCGCGCAGACCCGCCCCAGAGGCTCCAAAGCCCCGAGCCCCAGACCCCCACACACCCCGAGGCAGGTCAGTGCAGCCCAACCCAAAGTCCAACAATCCCCCGTCCTCGCCGGGGCCCCTCCGGCAGCCCCACTGCCACCCCACTGCTCAGCGCTCCCCACAGTCCGGAGCACCCCGAGCACCACCAGGCCATCGGAGCTGGCACAACCCCCCACCCCCCCCCACAAGGGAGCAGGTCCGAACAATTTTCTAAAGTCCCAATGCAGATGATAATATTGTGATGGTGGGCTAACACCCACCTTAACCTCCACATATTCAGTATTAAAACAATTGTATATTCTACCCTAAAGTATAAAACACATAAAACACATCAGAAACATCAGAAATAAGACACCATCTTGATGTTAGCAAAAAGTGTATATGCATGAGACAAAAGAGAGTTCACATCAACAGGTTCATGTGCTGTGTCACATGCTGACCTTCGCAGTCTTCAGAGGTGTAATCTACTTGCAACGGCCCATTGTATTCCTGTATCTAGTAATATATTTATATATGCTAGCAACATTATGTTGAAATCTACAAAGGCCCCACTGTCCCTTGGTTGGATATACAATATTAATTCAGAATCATGGCATTCACCTGAGCCTCTGGCATGGATTGCTAGCAACACTGTTTAGCTGGTTGGGGTGTGTGTTTTGTGAACAAGGCTTAGCAAGAAGACTGCACCCTACTAAAGATCAGTCTGACTGACCAACAGTGTTGGACAGTAATGCGTTACTGAAATAATATTACTTTTCCCAGTAACTAGTCGTGTAACGGATTACTATTTCCAAAACAGTAATATTACAGTTACTAAACCAAGTAATGCTGCATTACTGAACGCATCATCCTTGACGTGAATGCGCAACTGCGTAGCGACACTGAACCCTTATGTTGTTCAAGTCAGCTGTTAGCCAAAAGGCTGAACGAAGAATGGAGAACGAGAGAGATAAGCATTCTTTCCACAGCTGTACATAGCTACTGCCATTATTTTATACATAGTCTAAGATGCAAAGAACATTTTTGTCCATTGTTAACTTTGTGCGACAAGCAAAAAAGTTTTCAACCGCAAACAATTCTACATCTGATTTCTATCTCTGCTAAAGCAGCACAGCAACATGAAACTTATAGAAAGAAACTCTGGCCGCTACTGCCAGTGATTCTTGGACTCGTGAGAGTGGCGTTAAGAAATGTTTTGCAAAAATACTGAATACTGCTCTTAAAAATACATGTGCAGAAAAACAATAGTTCAAAAGTCGGGATTTACTTGCTTTATTTTTTATTTAAGCCTGTGGCATTTAGAAACGTGCTGCTTGCTGCTGATAAAAGTGCTATTAGTTAAAAAGTGAGAGACTGCTTTATTTGATCGGAGGGGGGGGGGGGGGGGGGGGGGGGTGGTAGTGAACTAGTAACTGCCCAACACTGCTGACCAATAAATATCTGAAACATTATCAACACTATCAACATATGGAATATTCAAACATCATGACTAAACTCTAAATAAAATATCTTATTATGCAGTTGCTGGTTTAATCATATTACACACAAAAGAAAAGTCCATAAAATACTAAATAGATAATTAGCCTACAACAAGAACACTGAAGATAATGACAAATTTACTCAATGCACTGCCACCAACCCTAACATAGATATGTTGGTCGCCACGGTGTTAGATTTGGCCATTAATGTTTCTTTACACTCCTCATATCCTGACACTATCATTTTTATCTTTTATCATTACATTTAGCTGACGCTTTTATCCAAAGCGACTTACAATTGCTATACATGTCAGAGGTCGCACGCCTCTGGAGCAACTAGGGGTTAAAGTGTCTTGCTCTTGTGTCATCACCACCATTGGGCATTCTTCTGGGAAAACTACAGGGCATGCAATTGTGAAAATGCTGTGCCTCCGTGGCCGAACCCGCCCTTTTTAAGTAAGCGCGTACCAACTCCAAGTTAACACAGACTCAACTAACATCTTATTCACCATCGTAGTATGTATCGTTTAACACCAGTGTAGGCAGTCAGAGTTAGTCAACCTTGACTTTGCTTGAAAAAGCAAAGAGTTATAATCTGAGTAGGTTAAACTCCTTTCGTAGTACAGGCCTCACATCTGTGTCACCTGTTGTGCTCCCGTCCTGCTCCTTTGCTCCTGTAGAAATGGTTGTCTGTTTCTTCAGTCTGTGTCCGTGTTGCGTTCTGCCTCTTGGCTGAACGCTGGAGACAGAGGTATTGGACCCAAATGCAGACACGGAGAAGGTAACTGGAGAGTAAATGGTGTTTATTCCCGACAACGGTGAAAACTTGCAGTTGCAACAAGAATGTCCTTGAGTCCAAATGAGAGAGTAGTCCACACGGAAACGGGAGACATGAAACTACACAGGAGACAAACGAGAGACTTAAACTAGAAACATGCAGAGACTCCTATAGAAACAAGCTAACAACAAACAATGAACTGGCAACCACTCAAAGACAGACAACCACTTAAATACACAGGTGAGGGAGAAACTAATTACACACAGGTGAGACCACTCAGACAATCAACGACAAGCACAGGAAGTAAAACAAGACAAGAAACACAAGGGCTGACTAACTACAAACTACAACAGGAAGTAAAGCTAACACACAAGGAACACTGTCACAAAATGAAACAACACAAACAACCTAGGTGACTTGCTGACAAAACCTACAGAAGCAAGGAACAGAGACAGTAAAACAAGACTAGAAACACAGACGATAACTCATAACAAGGAAACCTTGACGGCAAGATGGCTGAAGCTGTGTTTCTCTGAACTTGGTTTTCTGATCTATAGAGGAATCCTTTTTAAATTTCAAAATATCAGCTGCTGTTTGAAGCATGAAGAGTCTAATCAATTATCTTCAAGCAAAATTGTGGCTATTGTTTGTATTTTGTGAAGTGTTTCTGGGACTCTACTACTAAATCCTCGGGCCTAGTAAGCCTTGTTCACCAAACAATGCCACCTAAAGCTTCTAACTACACCACCGAGGATTATGTTACCATGGCTTAAGTGCGTGAATTATTGGATCAGCAAAAGGACTTCCACAGAACTTTACTTGAACAGCAAGAAAAATCTTCAAATCTTGTGTACAGATCATAGTTGACTCTTCTAATAAGAGGATTGATGATCTGTCAAAGCAAGTTTATGACTTCAAGGTGAGTCTGGAAAACTCAAAGAATTTGATTACTTTAAAATCTCTTGTGGTACCTGGTCTAAGATCTGTGGTGAAACCAGGTCAGATTTGGCCACAATCTGTAAAAGTTTAAATTTAATCTCAGAGAAGGCTGAGTTTCTGGAGGGCCAGTCAAGACGGCATAATATTGTTGTGGATGGCATCAAAGAGTCTGCGAAAGAAAAGGTGTCTGATTCTGAAGAAGTGAGAAAACTATTTAGTGAAAAGTTACAATTGGATCACTTGAAAATAGAGCTTGAATGGGCTCAGAACTGGGAAGCCAGCGACACCTTCAGAAAAGCCCAGACCCATTGTGGTCAGATTTCTGTGGCTTAAGGCTTAACTTGCTGTTCTGGATAAAGCAAAAAAACTGAAGGGCTCAGGCATCTTCATAAATGAGGACTTCCCTGAAACCGTCCGACAAATAAGGAAAGATCTACTCCCTACAATGAAGGCGGCTCGAGAGAGAGAGGTGACATTGCTGTCATAACCCGGCTCAAAGGCCATGACAAATACAGAGAGGACACGGAGGATTGCCAATAATAAACATATTTATTGTAGCAACTTAAATGACAAAACTAATAATCAACGATGTAGAGTGTGTTAGTGAAATCAGTGGTGTAGATGTGGATGAGTGACAAGTATGGAGCTTGGGTGTTGAAGAGTGGTAACAAACATAATGTAACAAAAGAATGCTGCTGGCAGGAGTGGGACCAGATCAGTATTTATCCTCCCACAGCATCTGGCCCAGGTGCTTCCAATCTGGTTTACATTTAGATGTTGGTTCAATAGTTGCCCACCATATCTTAATTAGAAAGTATTTAGCTTTTTTTGTTTGTTTGACATATCTACAGTACAGTAAATATACACTCTATGGACTACTACAATACATCTGATTCTGATTGTAATGTTTTTAAGACTTTTGATTCTTCTGCAATTGATTCTTATAATTTTGATGTTGACCCAGATCTACTTTTATTTCATCATTTGATGCCACAAACCTTTTTTTTGCAGATTTTATGATGAAACTCAGTTTAATGACTTATATGTTTCTATGCCTTCTAATATATTCTCCACTTTCCATTTGAACATAAGAAGTCTTCCTTGTAACTATGAAATATTTTTTATTCTAGTTACTTTTTCCCTCTTACTCATAAACCTATTAGAGTAAAGGAGAATTCAGCAACTTTGATAATATCTTAACAAACAATTTGAGTGAAGGAATGAAATCTGGGGTCTTGTATTTAGATCTGTTCGTACTCGTTAATTAAGTTTAATACAACTAAACAAAAAAGAAAAAGATGCATAAAAGAATTATGTGCAGGCGAAATATTTCTAAATTTAAAGATATGCTTGCCAGTACTTCATGGAATGACCTTTACAAAGAAAATAATGCTCATTTTGCATATCAAAGTTTTATGAAAGTTATTAGCATTAGTTTTAATGAATGTTTGCCAATTGTTAGTTCTACTAAGAAATATAGTCAGGCCTTTAGTAAGCCTTGGTTTACAGTTGATTTGCTGAAGCTGCTTAGGAAAAAAATAAATTGTATAAAAAATACGTCTCAAATCCTACACCCCTTACCCATGGTGCTTATAAATCTTGTAGAAATAAATATACTCATTACATTAGATCTGCAAAAAAGAAATATTTCTGTGAAAAATTTAAGAGGTGTTCAAATGATACTAAAACCACATGGAAAGTTATAAATCAGTTGCTGCATAAGACTCACCCAAAGTTACCTTCAATTTTTATGAAGGTGAGAATTCTTTTAATAATTCATTTGATATAGCTCAAACATTTAATGATTTTTTTCTGATTTCTTATAATAAAATCTAGTGGATTTTATTATAAGAAAGTATCCTCCCATTTCTTTTTTT